CATCAGATTTCAGTATAATGGTATACCTTTGTCATGGATATACCATGTCATGGATATACCCTTTGCCAGTTTAAAAGGTATTGGTATTTCTTCGTCAGGGATATACCTTTGTCAGTTTGGAGGATATTGAAATACTTTTGTCAGTATACCTTCGACGTTTGTCAGGGATATATCTTCGTCAGGGATAAAGATTTGTCATAGTATATCTGAAATATACCCCTCAGATTATATCTCCAATATGCCCCTGTATCACTATATACTCTGAAAGGTGTATCCTTATCTCTGAATATACACACAGAGATATACCCTTCTCACTGTATATTACACTGAGACTGAGAGGTATATCCTTCTATCTGTATATATCCTGTAACATATATCCCTCATCCTGCATATACAAACTTAAAGAAACCCTCCCTTTGTTTATATAGAAAGTGATATGCAAATATCGCGAACAAGCGATTCAATGTGCAAAACAAGCAAGGGAGGGTTGAATGTTAGCTCTAGGCCTCTCATGTTGCAATCAACACATCAACAGGAGTTTGCAATGTTACAGGAATGAGTAAGAAGTGCAGTTAGAAATGTTTAAGATATATATATATATATATATATATATATATATATATATAATATATATATATATATATATATATATATATATATATATATATACATATATATATATATTGTGCACATCTCTGCGTATTGAGCCTCTCACCCTGAATATATATTGAGAGACATACCCCTCTGTGTGGTATGACAGTGTGCATCATAAGAATATACCTCTATCCTTCCTCCTGAGATATACCCCTAGCTGAGATATACCTGAGAGAGAGGACGGTTTATTATTACATACTAAACCGGAATGGTTTATTCAGAGTCTTGGGAATGGGTGTTAATCAGGTTTGATCCAAAGAAGGGGAAGGTGGCTCAGATTCATTGGATCAAGAGCCATTCACAACCATCAAGTGTTGAAGAGTGAAAAAAGAAAAATATGCTTCAGGTGTGGACACAGTACATGAACAATTTAAGTTTTATCTAATTTTTCCCCTAAATTGCAGTTTAGGGAATAAGTTTGACTTAAAATAATAACATGTGTGATTTTTAAACAAAATTATCATCGTTTCTGTTTAAATGTGTTACGTAGCTAAAAACTAAATATTCTATCTATTGACAAAATATAAACACCGTGAGACTGGCTGAGTGACCCTGGAGATACGACTGGATCCCATTCTTCTAGGTACGTTTTCATACCTGACTCCCTTCATCTGAGGTTCCCAAAATATAAACATCGTAAAGTTGGCTCAGTGGCTCTGGAGATGAGACTGGATTCCATTCTTCATGTTCGCTTTCATGCCTGACTCCCTTCATCTGAAGGAATCTGGGTTCTGATCTCCCTCCGTCTCTCTCTGCCTGTCCCCTTGATCCTTTGTGGCATCCAGAGGGGACAGTCTTCACTCTGTCTTTATTTGTTGTTCTCTCGTTCTACATTATTTTATGTCTTTGCTGATGCAGCTAACTAGGGCTTATTATTACGAATGTTATTACGAATGTTATTGTTGTTGTTATGTTTGTTGTTGTTGTTATGTTTATTGTTGTCGTTGCTGCTGTTGTTGATATATTTATTATTATTATTATTATTATTATTATTATTATTATTATTATTATTATTATTAGTAGTAGTAGTAGTAGTAGAAGTAGTAGTAGTAGTATAATTATTATTATTAGTAGTAGTAGTAGTAGTAATAGTAGTAGTAGTAGTAGTAGTAGTAGTAGCAGCAGCAGCAACAGCAGTAGTAGTAGTAGTAGTAGTAGTAGTAGTAGTAGTAGTAGTAGTAGTAGTGGTAGTAGTAGTAGTAGTAGTAGTGGTAGTAGTAGTAGTAGTATAATTATTATTATTATTATTATATTATTATTATTATTATTATTATTATTATTATTATTATTATTATTATTATTATTATTATATTTTTATTATTATAATTATCATCCTGCAATTATACCTATGCACACATACACACACACACACACACACACACACACACACACACACACACACACACACACACACACACACACACACACATCATGGGGGGATAAAAGAGGCAGTACATTATAGATCAAGCAGACTATTAAACACTGTAAGAGTTATATCAATCATTAAACCGACGGTAAGAGTTTGCTTTAATCTCTATCACCAAAGCTCAATGTGAGGTTAACAGCTCTAAACAAAACGGATTAACGAAGAATAAACAAGGTATACACACTAGGAAATATGTATATCTCAGACTATTTATATTTTTTATTCTAGGGATTAATTTAACAACGACATTTGTTTGTAGGTGCAACGGAGATTTACTAATCCCACGTATTTGTTAGATCTAACAGCCAAGGGAATAGAAATAGAAATGAGGTGGATCTAACACTCTGGAGAATAGAATAATCAATAGAAGAGGGGCAGATTTACCAATGAACGATCAATGAACTCAAATAGAAGAGAGTTAAACTCCAAACAGTACACAGGTAGATCTAACATTCTAGAAGTAAAGGACAAATATAATGAAAGTAGATATCGTATCACTGATGGTATAATGCAGAGAGGTTGATAAATAAGAAACAAGTGCAACACTTGGGTATCTTCATGGCACTGCTGAAACAAGTGCAACACTTGGGTATCTTCATGGCACTGCTGAAACAAGTGCAACACTTGGGTATCTTCATGGCACTGCAGAAACAAGTGCAACACTTGGGTATCTTCATGGCACTGCAGAAACAAGTGCAACACTTGGGTATCTTCATGGCACTGCAGAAACAAGTGCAACACTTTGGTATCTTCATGGCACTGCAGAAACAAGTGCAACACTTGGGTATCTTCATGGCACTGCTGAAACAAGTGCAACACTTTGGTATCTTCATGGCACTGCAGAAACAAGTGCAACACTTGGGTATCTTCATGGCACTGCAGAAACAAGTGCAACACTTGGGTATCTTCATGGCACTGCAGAAACAAGTGCAACACTTGGGTATCTTCATGGCACTGCAGAAACAAGTGCAACACTTGGGTATCTTCATGGCACTGCTGAAACAAGTGCAACACTTTGGTATCTTCATGGCACTGCAGAAACAAGTGCAACACTTGGGTATCTTCATGGCACTGCAGAAACAAGTGCAACACTTGGGTATCTTCATGGCACTGCAGAAACAAGTGCAACACTTGGGTATCTTCATGGCACTGCAGAAACAAGTGCAACACTTGGGTATCTTCATGGCACTGCAGAAACAAGTGCAACACTTAGGTATCTTCATGGCACTGCAGAAACAAGTGCAACACTTTGGTATCTTCATGGCACTGCAGAAACAAGTGCAACACTTAGGTATCTTCATGGCACTGCAGAAACAAGTGCAACACTTTGGTATCTTCATGGCACTGCAGAAACAAGTGCAACACTTAGGTATCTTCATGGCACTGCAGAAACAAGTGCAACACTTGGGTATCTTCATGGCACTGCAGAAACAAGTGCAACACTTGGGTATCTTCATGGCACTGCAGAAACAAGTGCAACACTTAGGTATCTTCATGGCACTGCAGAAATGTTGCAACCCCTGAATGGGTTGCAATGATTAATATGTATATATATAATTATTACCTTTTCATATAATTTTATATTGCTTGTATTTGCGATAATAGCTAAATCGTAAATGTATTGCTTTATATTGCTATTTGACTTAGCTTCCTTTGGTTAGGTAGGATGTAACATTATGTGCTCAGTTCAAGTCTTCATTGTCTAACTACTGTAATTATCGCTTGTGGCTCGTTAGACTGCCGGCTTCTGTTTCTGAGCTGCAGCTGTCCACGGAGCTATCATGTGATCGAAGGGGGGTGTCCTCACCTCGCCTGAAGTATTCAGTCTGGTCTAGACTCTCTTGGTGGTTGGTGGTTGGACAGATTGTCTCATTATTCTTGTTAGTTCTGTAGAACTCTGTTCACAGAACATTGTATAGACTTAGTGATTTTCGACGTTGTAGTGAGGTTGTGTGTCTCAGAGACACTCTGAGTAACTCAGGTCCTGAGCTGTAGCTTCTGACCTAACTTGTACTGGTATCTGTGTATTATCACAGTCGGGGATTTTCTTATGCTGAACTTAGATTCAGTAGTATGGGAGTTTTGTGACTTTTGTGGAGGATCTGCTGATGGTCCCTACTTAGTGTCGTTATATTATCTCCTTGTTCCTGATTCTGTGTCGCAGTTGCTTGTTATATTGCTATTGGGCTTAGCATTCTTTTTATTGTTCAAGCAGACTGTTCTGACTGCCAGTTGGTCAAGAAGTTAGTTTATTTGAGGACTTTGTCAGTCACTTGTTTAAGTCTAGTTGAGTCTTGAGACATAGCGAACTACTTAGAGCACTTTCACACATACACACTTACTTGTACATATTTGTAATATCTTATTAAATGTTAATGTACCAGACGGTACTTAAGAATTATGAATGTGATATGTGCTTTCAGCACAATAATATTGTACACGAGAGAAGTGATATTATTTTAATTACTGTGATTAATTTAATTTAATTTGATATACGCCTAGACAACTTAATGACTAATAAATTTATTAAATTTTAATTTCTCTAGTTAGTAGCCTACCAGTTGTAATCCTGAAGCACTATTGAATCATACTGAATTCTAATGGATAATTGGACCAGGATACTGACTAATTGTTACGAAAACCCAGTAACAGGCTGGATGCTAGAAGGGCAGTCCTTTCTAGTATTACCTGGAGATCTCTAAGCTTTTAGAATCGCGTTTTTTGTAACAAGAAACAAGTGCAACACTTGGGTATCTTCATGGCACTGCAGAAACAAGTGCAACACTTGGGTATCTTCATGGCACTACAGAAACAAGTGCAACACTTGGGTATCTTCATGGCACTGCAGAAACAAGTGCAACACTTGGGTATCTTCATGGCACTACAGAAACAAGTGCAACACTTGGGTATGTTCATGGCA